CATGATAAATATACTTCCCAAATCCAAATCTGGGAGCCTAAGGGCACCAGCAGGCAGTTCCAGGAAAGGGTTCCAGCTTACTAAAAACAGGTAGTAAATCAGACATTTGAAAGTTGAAAGCAACATCACATTTTGCAGTTAATAAAGCATAGATTTCATTTTGCAATTTACCATTATAAAATGATTGGCTTGGTTTAAGTGTATCTCACGCTCTGTGTTTTTATAGCATGAGCGATAGAATTGTCTTTATAAAATTTAATTAATTATTTAAACTATTTAATAAGTTAATAATAATTGTATAATATGATTATAATTTTATTCTTATTATTTCATAATTTATTTAATATACTATGCTCTTGGTTTTAATCAAAACTGACAGAATAATGCCTACTAATAATAAAGTAAAAAATTATTAATACTCTTAATTTAAATTATTTTAATATCAATTAACCAAAATAGAGAAAGTCGACATTCGCCCTAATAGCTTCACCATTGCTAAGTGAATCACTGCAGTTGTCAAGTTAGTAACACAGTTGTTAAGGGCTTTACCATTGACTTTGCTTGCCAAAAATAGTAATTAAGTCACGTTTTCCAATGCCATTGTAACTTTGAGCAGTCATTAAATGAACTATTGTAAGTCAAGGACTATCTGATTAATGCCTTTAGATTCAGATCCAATCCCTCTCTTAATTATTTTATATCACAATTCCTTCCCTTAGAATCCAGTGTAACTTTACATCAGATTTTTTTTTCATTTTATTTCAATAACAATCCTACGAGGTATCTTGGGCTGAAGGAAAGTGACTGGCTTGAAGTTACTGATTTAATGTCTGAGTCGGTATAGCTGAGTGTGGACTTAAACGTTGATCTAACCCTTACTTCCTGTTGGCTAGCTCCCACTAGTGGTTCTAGAATAAAATGTTATGGTATGTTTAGAAAGCTATCTCTAACTTTTTCCGTATGTAGCACAAATCTCGTATGCGTGATTATACTCAAGAAACATGACTTTTGACTGCAACATTCCTTTGCAGAATCAGCATATTTATGGCCTCTTAGCATCAATATAAAAATTATAAATAGCTTAATAGGAAAATATTTTAATTGTGACAGATGGAACTATATCAGGGGTGAAATACTACTCGTTTGGACCGGTTTGCTATCCATTCTCCTGAACTGGTAGTAAAAAAAATGCTACTAGTTCAGGTGAACCAGGTTTTCAGACAATCAGCTGTGACACACGATTTATATTAGTCTAGGTTACTAATCTAAATCATGTGGCACCGCAGATTCACTTACCTTTGTAGACGAAACTGCTAGCAAAGGTAAGCACCAAAACATTCCTGGACTATACCAATAGAGTGTGTGTGTGTGTGTGTGTGTCTGTCTGTCTGTCTGTCTTGTTTTGTGGGAATAAATAGCACATTGTACTCTCTGGTGAAATTCTATAATGTAGTTTGCAGTTGTCTTTTAAAAATGCTTGCAAGACTTTATTTAAATCAGGAGTTCTGATTTAAAAGTACTATAAATTGGGACTGTTTAAAAGTTAATTCCTGCTTGACCTTTCTCAGAGGGCAGCTCTCTCTGATGTCTCACCTTGTTCAGATTTCCCATATATTGCTAAATCAGGAGAGGCACACATACATTATATGGATAAAGATAAGAGTTGGGTCATAAAACCTTTGCATACATTAATAATATTTGGGCCAGTTGAGGCCAGTACTCTGCCATTTTGAATATAGCAATTTAAAAGCCATTCAACTTTAGGAAAGAAAAGTGCTGTTGGCATTGTATCCCATTACTGCCTCTAATCTCCAAGTTGTCCTTTAGAAAGTGAATCCAAACTTTTACACCTTTCACTCTCTTATAACTTTTATATACCAATGCATGCCACACTGCTGATTTTATCCCTATGTTTTCTGCCCCAGAAAAATTGCTATGCAGCAATTACAATGGATGAAGGTAAGTTGGACTGCAAAATCAAACTAGATTTTGCACAAAAATCCCATTAGGAGGAACAAGCTTCTGTAGCCTTTTGTAATATTTTTGTTTCTTCCTTCTAAGGAAAAATCTACATATGTATGTTAGTATGATTAGATCCACAAGAGGGAGCTGTTGTACAGGTTTATTATTCAAGGAAGAGCAAGAAGGATACAGCATTTCACTTGATTTGATTTAATTTAAATAAGCAAAGATAATTGGTTAACATGAACACGCAAACATACACAATTATACAGGTTGTCCTTAACTTGTGGCTATTTTCCTAATGAGCACCTGAAGTTAGAACAGACTAAAAAAAGTAATTTATGACCTATTACAACTGTTGCATCACCCCTGCAGTCATTTTGGGTGCTTGGCAATTGGTTACCATTTGCAACTGGTTGCAGTGTCCTACAATAATATGATCCCATTTTGCAAAGTTTGTTGCCCTTTTCTGCAAAAAATGACCAATTGATAAGAGGGATTCAGGCTTACAATGTGATTAACAACCACATTATTTGCTTATCGAGCATTCATTATTATCAAAATTCTGGGCACAGTTGTGATTGTAAGTCGAAGATTCCCTGTAATGTTAGAAAGGGTCCTTCAAGCCACTAAGCCCAATACCTTAATCATTGTTCTTTTGCTAAGTTTTGAAATCTGGAAATGGGTTTGGATCCCTAGGGCCACGTAAGGGAGTGACCTCCTGTTACTTGTCCCAGCTTCTGCCAAGCTAGCACTTCGAAAACAGATAAAAATGCAAGTAGAAAAAAGGGGATGCCTTTGGTGGGAAGGTAACAGCGTTCCATGAGCCTTTGGCAGTTAGTCCTGTCAGCCACATGACCATGGAGACGTTTTTAGACAGCGCTTGGCTCTTTGGCTTTGAAACGTAGATGAGCACTGCCCCTTAGAGTCGGGAACGACTAGCACATATGTGTGTGGTGAACCTTTATCTTTAGTGGTTTGAAGCTTTTACAATCACTTTGGCCACTGACCATGATTTTCTTGTTTTAAAGTGGTAATTTATATTTTATATGCTTCTAATTAATTTTAAACTTGTTTTATTAGATTTTGTACAAACTGTTAAAAATTACAATTTGAAGTTACAATTCTCAATACCATTTTTTCTTGTATAATTTGTAGGCTAAGATCCACTGGCACTCTAGTTATAGAAGTTAAGACACACTCTCAGTGTCTAAACTGGGGAACCTCTAATTCTTCCTTCTACTCATCTCTTACCATCTGCATATCAAATTGACTTACTGAAATTAACAGGTAGTCCTCAACATATGACCACAACTGAGCCCAAATTCTGTTGCTAAGTGAAACATTTGTTAACATGGAGCTTTGTTCTATTTTACAATCTTTCTTGTCATAGTTGTTAAATGAATCACTGCAGTTTTAAGTTAGTAACATGGTTGTTAAGAAAATCTGGATTTTCCATTGATTTTCCTTGTCCGAAGATTGTAAAAAATGATTACATGACCCTGAGACACTGCAACCATAATAAATATGAGTCAGTTACCAAGTGTCTGAATTTTGATCATGTGATCATGACGTGCCACAATGGTCATAAGTGTGAAAAATGGTCAAAAGTCACTTTTTAAAGTGCTGTTACAACTTTGAACAGTCATTAAATAAACTGTTGTAACCCAAGAACTACCTGTAGTAGTTTTTTTGTTTTGTTTTAAAAGATTTAACTGTTTTATATCTTGAATATCTGATAAGCTGAAAATGTTAATGGTCCAAACAATATTGTTAACAGAGGTTTCTAGTTGTAAATATTGCCATTGGGTTACAGCTGGTAGAACTGAAAAAGCTTCTTGGATGAGAAGCGAAATGTTTTCGAAGAAAAACCAGAAAGTCCAGTTGCCTCTTGAAAAAAACGCCTGTGGGACAACCATGTCCTGGATGACTGAGACTCCCCATTGACATTTGTTAGATGATCGTTGTCTCTTAACACATATATTGTCTCTTATCATCATGTATCAAGTGGACCAAAGTCAATATCTGAGGTTTCATCCAATATTTTCATATCACCATCTTTTTTCAATTTTTAATGTTGGCTTTCCCCATAATGTCAATATGGCATGGGAAAAAGAATCAAGTTTTTAAAGGAATTATATTCCATAGCTTTCTAACTGACATAATAGTTTCTGAAAATACTCTACTAGAGTTCTACTGTATTTAGATCCTGTCTATTTAGAACACTGTCTATTAAACCAAAGGTGCTATATGTGCATACCAAATTTGTCTATGTCTGAAAATTAACATCAGTTATTAGCTTCCAGAATTTAATACTTGACAATAGATAAGTTTGAGGACAAATCTCCTGTTTCAGAAAACCAAATCTTCCCTAACTGGTGGTTGCATTTCCTATAAAAAGTATTTTCAGAATCAAAGAACCTTATACAAAATTTCTAAATTAAATTTTATTTTCTGAAAATGTTTGAATTTGAACAGGAATTTTTCTTGGAGTATAAATTAATTAGGGAAAAAGCTTCTTGGCATTTTAATCAAGATCAAGGCTAGTATATTATTGCTTTCTTTTTTTAATGATGAAATGTACATTGACTGCTATTTCATTTGTTATTATCTATTCAATTTTCTAACTTTCAAGAATGTTTTAAAGCTATCTCTGTCTTTTAAGGTTTTTGCTATTTCATTCAGTTTGTGTCACTTCTATTTACTCTGTGCTCCCAGTTATTTATTAAAAAATGACACAGATGACCTTATTTCATTCTGTAACTCCAAAATAGGTAAGTTAATGGTTATTTGAAGATACACAAAAGACCCAGGGTAAGCCAAGGTAAACTCAATCTAATGACTTAGTGTAAGAGAGGGAGAGAAAGAGGGAGAGGGAGAGACAGAGAGAGACTCCTGCAACAAAATTGGGAAAAAATATTTATTTTAAGGCATATTTATCTTTGATGGCTTGCATCAGACCTGCTGGACCACAAGCTTCAATGAAGCAGATCCTACAGCTGGCCTAATTTCTTTAATGGCTGTGAAAAACAACATACCTTTTCATCTCTCATGTCTTTCTCTTCCTCTAACATCGCTGTTAAATATTCGATTTTATCTGTTTGCTCATCAATGATTCTCCTTAACTTATCTATTTTTGCAGCTGATAAATCTATTCTGCATTGTTCATCCACTTGCACATATTTCTGTCAAAACAAAAGGAAGAATATAAGAGATTCCATTGCAGTTAGTTGTCCAGTTACAACAACATGAGTAGCTTCAGGAAACATATGGTTTATGAATGTGTTTTACCATTCTTTTTGGTCTAATCTAAAGAAAATGTGGCGTTGGTTCTTACCTGATACACTCCTTCTCGAGGCAGGTGGAGACAGTGGTCATGCATGGGTTAACTCAGTCAGTAACCAATAGAACTGAGTCTACCAAAGTGATGTCATCGCCTCAGAGGAGTGTCTTCCCGCTTTTGTGACGAAGGAGATAAGTAGACTGCTGTGCGTTAGTCGACTGCTTTCAATCCTCTGAAACTCTAGCCTAGCTCCAGAACTCCCTCTGTGAACTAGGCCAGGACCCCAAGGGTGGGGACGACTGCTGTCTCCACTGCCTCGAGAGGGATGTCCCCAACCAACTCCCCATTCTCCAACGTTGGTGGAGACAGCTGTCATGCATGGGACGTACCAAAGTTGTGTGTGTCCCTAGGTGGGAATGGGACTGGGCTAGGAGCTTGAAGAGGGAAGAACTTGTTGAAGCACCCACCATCCGAATGCCGCATCTGCTGATGCGTATCTGTCCAACTTATAATGGCGGATAAAGGAATTGGGGGTCGCCCAGGTGGCTGCCTTGCAGATCTCTTCCACTGAGGCCTGCCTTGTCCACGTTGCTGATGTATCTGCGCTACGTGTGGAATGCGCCGTGATGTTGGATGGAGGCGTGCGGTGACTCGCCAGGTAAGCTCTAGTTATAGTTGACCAGATCCAGTACCCAACCATAGATGGAGAAGCCTTTAGACCCTTTTTTGTGGGATGGAAAGACACACAGAATGCTTAGGTGCACCTAAAGGCAGCCATCTTGGCAATATAGATCTTAAGAGTCCGCCTTACGTCTAACCTGTGCCATTTGCGCTTGAGACTGTGAGAGGGATTAGGGCAAAAGTTTGGTAGAGTGAGATCCAGAGACCGATGAAAGGCCGAATTGACCTTTGGGACAAAGGTGGGATCAAGTTGAAGGACCATGCAGTCTGAGTGAAAAGTACACAAGTCGGAATGGATGGAAAGGGCCGTCAATTCTGAGACCTGTCGTGCAGACGTGATAGCCACTGGAAAGGTTGTTTTCAATGTGAGGTGAGGCAGGGAGGCCAACCTGAGAGGCTCGAAGGGTGGTTCAGTGAGAAAGTCAAGGACTTTGGTTAGATCCCACGAGAGGAAGCGGTAAATGACAGGAGGGCAGAGATTAGATGCGCCCTTAATGAAGCGGCATACATGAGGGTGCAAGGAGAGAGGCTTATCCCAGTGAAGAGAGAGAATCGAAGAGAGAGCCGACATCTGCCTCTGTAAGGTGTTACGCACAAGTCCTTTATCTAGTCCCTGTTGCAGGAACTCCAAAACCTGGGAACCGAAGCTTCCAGGGGTGAAACCTCTCTAGAAAGGCTTCTTGTGCTGAAAGTCTGCCATGTTGATTCGTAGATCCTATTAGTGACCGGGCATCAAGAAGCCTGAATAGTTTGAATTACCGTCTCAGAAAGATTTGCCACCCTCAAGACCTTCCGCTCAGCCTCCATGCGGTTAGGCGGAGCCAAGATAGGTTGGGATGGTGGATGGATCCTGGTGAAGAAGGGAAGGTATCAGGGAAAGATATCACTCTAGGCCCAGAGAGGTTGACTAGGTCCGTGAATCATGGATGGTGCAGCCAATGGGGGGCGAGTAGGATGAGCTCGGCCTCTTCCTCTTATCATTTTCTGAATGACCTTCTGTATCAGGGGGAAGGGAGGGAAGGCATATAGGAGACCGTGGGGCCACCTGCACCTTAAGGTGTCTGTTCCTTCCGCGCCTAGTGTTGTGTAGCGAGACAGGTACCTGGGCAGTTGATTGTTGGATGCTGTTATGAAGAGATCTAGTACCGGGGTCCCGTACCTGGTTGACAGTTGTTTGAAGATGCGATGGTTGAGGGCCCACTCTGCAGGATCGATTGTTGTGCGGCTCAATCAGGTGTTGTTGGATCCTGAGATGTGTTCGGCGTGGAGGGAGAGAAAGTTGGCTTCCGCCCAGATCCCTAGGTGAAAGGCAGACTCCATGAGGGAAACTGCTCTTGTCCCACCCCTGGCGGTTAACATGTGTCTTGGTTGTTGTGTTGTCTGTCCGAATTAGCACATGTGTATTGTGAACTGAAGATTGGAACTGAAGGAGAGGTAGATGGATGGTCCTCAACTCTAGCCAATTCATACTGTGGGAAAGGTCGGAGTTGTACCAGAGACACTAAGCTATCTGATCCTCCAGGTGAGCACCCAACCCGTCAAACTCGTGTCCTTTGTAACTACGAGACGAGGAGGCTCCCTGAAGAGGGACCCCTGAGAGATGGCTGGGGATATCCACCAGTCCAGAGAGTGAAGGACCTCTGGAATCAATCTGACTTTCGCTAGGGAACAGCTGCTTTTGGTCTTCTGGAATGGCAGAAGAAACCACTGGAGGCAGCCACCGTGAAGCCGCGCCCAAGGGACAATGGAGAAGCAAGAGACCATCTTCCCCAACAGTTGAGACAGCTGGAGAAGAGGTGCCTGCTGTCTTCTCCATACTTGAAGGCTGAGTCCCTGAGGCTGATCTGTCGTTCCCGAGACAGGAAGACCTTCCCTTGAGCGGAGTCGATAAGGGCTCCCAAGTGCACTAGACAAGAGGTAGGAACAAGGTGGCTTTTCTCCTGATTGATGGAGAATCCTACCTCCTGAAGCACCTGCAAGGTGTTCTGAAGATCCCGCAGGGCCTAGTTGCGTGACCTGGCCAACAGGAGGATGTCGTCCAGGTAGCAAAAGATCCGAATGGGTCTGGTACCTAAGTGGGCTATTACGACTGACAAGAGCTTGGTGAAGACCCTTGAGGCTGATGACAGCCCGAAGGGGAGGGCCTGATACTGAAAGTGATGGCCCACATAGACAAATTGGAGGAACCGTCTGTGTTGTTTGTGAATGGGTACGTGGAGGTAAGCCTCTGTGAGGTCCACTGATGTGGAGATCATGTTTGTGCATACTCTCTAGGATTGACAGGAGAGTGCATTTTGAACCTCCTGTACCTGATGAATTGATTTAAGACTTTGAGATCGAGGATCGCTCTCCAGCCCTCCGAAGACTTCGACACGATAAAGAGATGAGAGTAGAACCCCCGTCCCACCTGGCCTGGAGGCACAGATTGAATGGCCCGAATGAGGAGCAGATGATGCATGGCCTGCTCTACTAGAAGCCTCTTTTGAGGGTCCCTGGATATGGGGCACGGGACAAAGTGGTTCGGAGGGCTGGAGTGCAAGTCCAAGAGAAGGCCGAATCTGATCGTGGACCTGACCCACACGTCGTTGGTGATATTGTCCCAACAATCCACGAAGGTCGACAGACGTCCCCCTATGGAGAGCTCCTCCAGGCAGTCACTTCTGCCTCTAGTAGGATCGGTTGGTATTGTCCCTGAATGACTTTCTGGGCTGGAATCTCTGGCTGTTTCTGCTTGACCTGTTGGAAAAGGAAGGGCCCTGTCTGGGGGGAGCCTGACCTTGCGGACGGGAGCTGGAGTAACCCCCGTCCTGACCCCAAAAGGGCTGCCTGCGATAAAAGGATTGACTGCAACCCTCTTGTTTCTTAGTGGCCGGTTGCAAGATCTTCCGCTTATCCTTGGACTCTACCAATACAGCATCCAATGGGACCCCAAAGAGAAGGGATGAAGAATAGGGAGAGGAGGCTAGCCTCCACTTGGCATGGGCTTCTGCCTGCCACTGCTTTAGCCAAAGCAGACGATGGGTGGGGATGGAGGATGCTATGGTCTTGGGTGCAAAACAGGATGCGTCCAAGGAAGCATCTGCAGTGTATTCTAGGGCCACCTTAATTTTGTTAATATCCCTGCGAGCCCTAAAATCCCTGGCTGGAAGCTTCGCTTGGAGTTGCCTTAGCCATAAGAGAGCAGAGCGACTAAAGAATGAAGCAGAGGTACCCGCCCTAAAGGACCAAGCTGAGGCCTGGTGACTATGGACCAGAGTTGGTTCTATTCTCTTGTCTTCAGGGCGAAGAGCCTCTTCAGGAACTGCTGAGGCTGTGTTAGGAGAAGAAAGGCCAATTATAGGTAAGTCAATAGAAAGTACCTCTAAAGCCTTGGTGAGTTCTGGTCCCATGTTATACAAGCGCTTGTCCAAGATATTGGGGAGGGGACCTGTACCTGGTGATGCCCATTGGTTCTGGATGACATCTATGAAGAGCCTGGGAGATGGAATCATCTCCTTTTCCACCTTAGGCTGGATGAAGAGGAGGTCAGTAGTGTCCGCCTTGTCCGCTTCCGTTCCTTGAGGTGCTTTAGGAGAAGGGATGCCAGTGATATCTTGGCCTTAAAGAGGAGAGAGCAAAAGACAACAGGTTTGAACAAAACAACAAATGCAGGTGGGTCAGTGAGAAGACCTTCGTCTTCCGAGAGATCTGAATCTCTTGCTGTACGTTCCTTTTCGCCAAAAACTGAAGGATGACTGGACGTGCCAGGGAGCTCATATGATGAAGAAGTTGAGAGATCACCATCCCTGCATCTGGAACCAGAGGAAGAAGCAGACCTGCATGGAGTAGAGTGGTTAGAAGACCTATGTTTAAGGGAGCTGTTACACCATGTTTAATGTCCTCAGATATCATGTCTGCCATACCAGGTGAGTAACAGCGGCGGCAGTGGCGGGGAAGAGGGGAAATTTCCTCCTGGTAGAGGGGCTCCTCATCTGGAGTGATGCTCCTGCCACCCTCAGATTCATCCCCACTGTAGGCGAGACCACTTGAGCCCCTGGCATCCTCAAGTTGAATGATGGATGCAGCAGGGGAGAGATCATCCTCTAAATCAGAGGATAAGTCAGGAGGAGGACGAGGCTGAGAAGGCCTCTGGGCCTGAAATAGATGGGATTCAGTGTGGTTTGTCTTGGCCTTGCTGGAAGGAACCTGGGTGGCACTGTCCTTTGCCTGTGGCTTGGCTACACCCCTATGGGACTTCCTGGGGGCCTTGGGAGAGGGCTCCGTGGGGGAGGCTTCTGGGGCAGGCTTGCATTGCGGGTCCAAGAAGAAGGGGTCTCATTGGTGGGTAGAGACACTTGTGGCTCAGGGGCAAGAGATGAGTCCATGGTCTGTATTCACGACTCCTTGAAGCTCCCAAAATGTCTACTGGAAATCTTCGCGCCAAAACAAAATGGCCACTGAGGCTACAGAGCCTATGGGACAGGCGCCATGAAGTAGCAGAGGCAGCAGAATGAGTGAGGGCATCAAAGGCCCTGCGGAGAGGCTGTGGAGGTCGAGGGGAGCAGCAGTGGTGATCCAGTGAGACGGGAGCGCTGAGGGGCAGCGGCGGTGTGTAGCAGCAGCAGCTTTTATTTGGCTGCTGGCGGCTTTGGTGGCGTTTGGAAGTGGCTGCGGGCTTGGCGGCAAGGAGGCCAGCAGAGGCAGCAGCGCTGAGCAGAGCCTCCAATGGCCGTTGCTGAGAGGCTCTGTTTGCAGGAGAACCTCTGAATTGCCGGTAAACTCAGGAGGCAGAAGTCTCGAAGAAGCCCTGGTGAGTCTCTCCAAGAAGCCCAGGGGCTAATTGAGAGACTTAGCTCTGAGGAGCTATCTACTGATTTCTTCTAATTTGGATGTAATTTGGGTGAAATTTAGAAAAAATATTCAGTTAAAGGTAATTATAATATCTACTAAAGTTGAAGAGAAAGCAGCATAGCCAGTTCAGATCGAACTGAGTCTAAAAAAGCGGGAGGACAGTCCTCTGAGGCGATGACATTACTTTGGTAGACTCAGTTCTATTGGTTACTGAATTAACCCATGCATGACCGTTGTCTCCACCAATGTTGGAGAAAGAATAAGAGCTTTTGTGTTTATTTTAATTACGAGGTGGCCAAGGAAGGCGGGGAGAGGTCTGATATTTTATGATACAGCAGTTTATATCCCGCTAACTTCCTAAACTTTAATTAACCCTCAAGATAAAACATGGAGAAATTATTTCCCTGGTGTGGAGGTGTTTAGATTAGGAAACAGTGGAAATCACAGCAGAAGAGGGGGAAATATTTATTTATTTAATAAATTGAGCTAGTGCCCATCTAACTGAAGATGACTCTGGGCCATTACTAACAAAAGAATGTCTCAGCAGTTTAAAAAACCTTATAAAATATAAATAAAAACAATAATGCAGGAGGTGAACATCAAGCTAAACCCAATATGACCATCATGTAGATTTCCTCATGGGATCCATGACTGCTGGAAAACCAACATTTTCAGGGGCTTCCAAAAGGCTAACAGAGATAGAGCTAACTTCCTCTCCTGAGCGGGCATAATGTTTTAGAGGGCAGAAGCCACAACAGAAAAAACATACTGTCTGGGTCCCATCAGATAGAACTCTTTAGTAAACAGGATGTGCAACACGCCCCTCCTGCTGGCTCTGATGGGATAGGCAGATGGTGTTCCCTCATATAGCCTGACCCTATAGTCTGACCCAATGCTATGTAGGGCTTCAAAAGTCAAAACCAGCACTTTGAATTGCACCTGGAAGCAAACTGACAGCCAATGCAGCTCATGTAACGGAATATAATGAGTGCCATCCTAGAGGCATCTTAAACTAACATAAAGGGGGGAATGCAGTAGCAGTACTTCCAGCTTCCAATAGTTAAAGCCCAAACCACCACCACTTTAGTGGTTAAACTTGAGATAAATAGGATTGGGTCTTAAATCTGTGCAATCCAGCACTGAATGTCACAGTGGCCTGCTGGATGAGTCAGTGAAACTGACAAATATAAATTAGAGTATGATCTTTCACTTTTAGTAGTCAGTGTGGAAGGCTTGCAGATTACAATTCAGCATGTAATGAACAGCTACTAGTATTTATAGCCACTGACAATATTAGCTTACATAAATTAATACAATCCTTTTTGAAACTATTCAGAGTTTCTTGTCATTACCATGCATATCTAATCTCTCTGAGTTTATTTTAGTAGATAGAGTGGCAAAGTTTAGATGGGATTCGGGAAGCCAATGTATTCCAGTACTCCTGTTTATTCTTATGTAACAATTGCTTTACATAATGATTGGGCAGAATGACAACATCTATGCAAGAGAACCTCACATGTTTCCACACTGGTCCTTTAGAATATATTTTCAGATTGTTTCACTTGTATGTTGTTTTATCAATTCAGGTTCTTGGTCAGAAAGTTAAAACATTGAGATAATTTGTTTCAAATACCAAATTTAATCCAGTAAATAGAAGTAAGTTATATCTTTTTATTTTTTTTTAATTTAAATTTTACATGGCCTGACTCCAAGTGACTCTGGCCAATTTATTAACACAGAAAAAAAGCAATAAAAGAATAATATAGTAAAGGGAAAGAATGAAATAGATGGTGAAAACTGGTAATAATGAGAAACATAACATACTATTTATAAAAAAAATTATAAAAAAAAGTCAGAGCAAAGAACATATGTAGTATTAGATGTCTCAAGTAAACAGAGTCGCAAGAATAAAAAACTCACTGAATAGTTCATTTTAAGAATAACAAGTGCATCACTTAATTGTTGTTGGTAGCTATATCGTGTTTTCATTTCTTTCTGTAATTAAAAAATAAAGGATTCATTACATTAATAGAATTATTACATTAATAGTAGTAACAAACTGAAAAAGTAGCAAACATGTAATCCCCCATTGTAAAAAATGTTATCAAATTTCTCTTTTTAAATATTTTTTATTTTTTTTAATATTAAAGTATGGAGCTACTCTACAGTGTGATCCATAAGTCAATTTGTCTAGCGTGTTCTGCTTCAGAGTTCCTGCCAAACCCTTAGAGTGCACACCATAAGAATTTTAATCTGGCATTATTGGATGTCTCCTGATTAAGGAAGACATTACTGAATTTGATGGATCAGACTCAGGGGCGAGTTCTGGCCAGCATTACTGGCGGCTTGCTTGTGTGCATGCTTTGTGCATGCACACGCTGGGTACATGTAGTGCGTGCACACGCTGGATGCGTGCAGTGCATGCATGCATCCTTCAATTAAAATTGTTCTGCATATGAGCAGAATTTAAAAACAAGATGGTGCCGTTGACCAGCGAACTGGTTCAGGGGCATGGCAGGCCTGGGTCGCTGCCAGTTCCAGCAACCCACGCCACCATACCACTATTGGTTCATTAAAAGATCACAAAAGATGATCACATGACCATGGGACACTGCAACTGTTATAAATATCAACCAGTTGTCAAGTATCTCAATTTTGATCATGTGACCATGGTGCAACGGTTGTAAGTGTGAAAAATGCTCACAAGTGACCTTTTTCAGTGCTGCTGTAACTTCGAACAGTCATTTAAACAAAATATTGTAACTTGAGGACTATCTGTATTGTCCATCGTGAGACAAGGAATTAGTTTTGAAAACACAAAGGACCTTAATGCAGCTCCAATGCCACTTAAGGTCAGCCCACTGCCTGAATTTTAGGACTAACTTACAACACAAACTCTTCGGTTTTGATCACCATGATGTAAAAAAGATGTTGAGACTCTAGAAAGAGTGAAGAGAAGAGCAACAAAGATGATTAGGGAAATGGAGGCTAAAGCATATGAGGAACGGTTGCAGAAACTGGGTATGTCTAGTTTAATGAAAAGAAGGACTAGGGCGGTGACATGATAGCACTGTTTTGATATCTCAGGGGTTGTCACAAAGAAGAAGGAGTCAAGCTATTCTCCAAAGCACCCGAGGGCAGGACAAGAAGCAATGGATGAAACTAATAAAGGAGAGGAGCAAGCTAGAACTAAGAAGAAATTTCCTGACAGTTAGAACAATTAACCAGTGGAATAACTTGTCTCCAGAAATTGTGAATTCTCCAATACTGGACATTTTAAAGAAGAGATTGGACAACCATTTTTCTGAACTGGTATAAAGTTTCCTGCCTGTGCAGGGGGTTGGACTAGAAGATCTCCAAGTTCCTTTTCAATTATTGTATTGTATTGTATTTATCCTATTCTATTTTTTTTTGCTTTATCTTCTTTATCTTCTCCTTTTCTTCTTCCTCCTCCTTAAATAATAGTTCTGAAGAGTTTAAAAGCTTGCACTCATTTTTATATTAATTGGATTGTTTTTTTGTAATTACCATATTTTTTGGAGTATAAGACGTACCCTTTTCACTCAAAAAAGAGGCTGAAAATCTGAGTGCGTCTTATACACTGAATACAGCATTTTTGCCTCCCAAAACCCTGCTCCCTTCACCAAAATGGCCGTGATAGCCTTAAGGAGCCTTCCAGAGTGCTCCTGGGGGTAAGGGAGGGCAGAAAAACGGGCCATTTTTGGCTCAATTTTGTCCCCTCCCCCCAGCCCCGAGGAGCACTCTATAAGCCTGTAAAGGCTATGCATGTCCCTTTTTTGACAAAAAACTAACCCATTTTTGTGGAAAATGGGCAAAAACTTTTTTTTTTTGCTTCTTCAAAACCTTGGTACATCTTATACTCCAGTGTGTCTTATACTCCTGTGCGTCTTATATTCCAAAAAATACGGTACTTGGTTATTCTTTTATGAGCTATTTATAGACAGCACAAAAACAATCATGCAAGGTGCAAAATGAAAATGAAGGAAGTTAACCTGTACCTGCTTATAAAGTTTCTCAATGTCTTCCAGTCGATCATTTATCTCTAGCCAGAGTTTGGATGAATATTCCTGTATTTTTTCCTCATACTGCATTTTCAGAATATTTTTATACATTGCAAAGTCATCACAGAGAGAGTATGTAAACTAAAAATTCAAAAAAAAAATGTTATATAAATCCATAATTTCTTTTGGAATTGTTGTGATTACAAAAGGTGATTACTAACTATGATGGATTTATTTTATTTTGGTTTCACTTTCTGTCTCCATGTTTTGTGGGTAGTTGAAAATAAAGAAGAAATAATAAGAAAGTTGATCAGAAATGCAAAGGTAAATACCAGTGAAGATCACTGCAAATATTGAAGAATGGTGACAATAGACATATGAATCCCATACAGATTTTATATGAGAACTAGTCCTCATATAAACAAGGGCAATTAATCACATGCACTGCAACAATTCAATTCAATGCAATTCAGTTTATACGCTAACTTCAAACTGGAGGCTTATAATAAAACAAGGCAGGGTAAAAAGCACAATAAAGATAAAAAGAGAATATCTGAAAAATGGTAATTAAAGTTACCTCTAATAAAGTTCTTGTCATTGCTGCAGACTGTTTCAGTTCTCCTACTTCACTTATCTCAGTTTGAGTGGCATGATCAGAGATGACAAAACCTATTTTTAGATCTTCTGAAATGCAAGGCCTGCAGATTTTTTTTTAAAAAAGTAGTTATTTTAAATAGCAGAGGAGCTTTGCCTAATAGAAATTGGCATTTTAATTTACAAAATGATCCATTTCTGTTTTAGTTATATATCTTCAGTGTAATAAACATAACTGGGATGGAATTAATCCCCATATATTTTCAAGCAAGCCTATTTATAGTTCCTTAGTTTTCAACTTGAATACAGTGCTTTTGGGTGACTGATTTTGTACTTTGTTTTATTATTCTGCAGTAAAATGTTATAATTCTCTCATTTGGAAGATGATATAGCCAGAGGTGGCTTTCAGCCAGTTCTGACAGGTTCTAGAGAACCAGTAGAGAACATTTTGAGTGGTTCAGAGAACCAGCAAATAGGCTGGCCCCGTCCCTGCAGCCTCCCAGCTGATCTTCTTTTGTTCCCCTGAACAGGAGACGGTGTTAGAAAGCAGGTTAGTGGGGTGCGGAGGGAATGGGGATTTTGCAGTAACCTTTTCCCAGGAGTGGGGAGGGAATTGGGATTTTGCAGTATCCTTTCCCTGCCACACCTACAAAGCCACGCCAACAGAACCGGTAGTAAAAAAAATTGAATCCCACCACCGGGTATAGCTAGGAACTAGGAAAGGTAAAGAGCCCTTTAAACAACCAGAACTTTTATTCTTGATAGTAATATCAAGTGGCTTGCCATTTTATTTTCTTCCTAAGGGTTTGCTTTTGTTTGTTTTTTTAGTCTCCCAATCTAGCCTCCGGGGTTTCCTAAGCATTTTGGCCAAATGTTAGCCAGGTCTAATCCCCTTTATCTTTTTGAAATTAGCCCTGGTTGGCTATGTGCTGCCACCTGATGGGCATTATATAGAAGAAGTTGTCTAAAGAAAATTCCAGATGTAATTCGGGGCATTTCTTAAAACAGCAGATGATGTGGAAAATCTGCATCTGAAATCTAGATAACTACATCTAATACAATTTGCTCATCTAATCTATGAATGTGTAACTGTCTGACCAGGTAATTTACATAATGCTCTATTCCAATACAAACTCATTTCAAACAAACAAGAGATAAATGATGTAACAAATAATTCAACAAAGAAAAGCAACAAAAAAGAGGGATGCAGGATTAACTCCAAAACTTAAATTTAATTCCTTTCAATCAGGGTCAGCCCACAGCTCTTACCCAATTGTATAGGACCCATGTACTTAACATACCTATCTCAAAATACCCAAGAGAAACTTTTTCCTCTTATAAACTCCTGTCATTCATGCATCTGTAGCCTCTACTAATGGTTCTCAGAACCCCATCCCCTTCCACCTTAGTCTTTCTCTTTTTGGTGTGTCCACACAACATTTTTCTAGGTGTAATTACTATGGTTTATTCATTTCAGTTTTCTGGGTTCCCAGTGAATGAATGAATCTAAACCGAGGAACTAGGATTGGCCAACATATTAGACCAAAATGTGGTTGACTAATTCATAGTTGTGGGGTTTATAAACATAGATTCTATGTACATAGCTAACCAGCCCTCTTAGATACGTCAATGTGTCACCTCCAGCACTCCAACAGTTTCTATTTGATGTCATATCTATCCATTGTCTGGTTTTGCAAAAAAAGCAGATCATACAACCAAACCAATACATAGTAAATATTTTAATTCCAGCATTTTTGGATTTCTACCTAAACATAGGCCCATATCAAAGAACAACACTAAATACTTATCTAAGTCTCAGAGTAAGACATGTGTATTATACATACAGGTCTTAAAATAGAATATAGGAATAACAAGTTTTCTTTCTTTCGGTCTATGAGCCATATCATATACTGTAGTTAAAATTCTTACATTCTATTAAAGAATTTGAGTGAAATAGTTGTCTGCTATCCCATGAAGTGACCAACAGATCTGTTGCTTTTAAAGGAAGAAACCTAAATCTGGAGAGACTATTTTGTCTAGGCAAAAACCAGGAGAAAAACTGTCCTTTTCAACTATTTGTGAGAGTTGGAATATCTACTGGGTTTTACATGATTGGTCTTGCTCTGAATCCTGATTCTTAGCTGAATGATTGATCAGTCTTGGTTTACAATTATTGTCTGTTCTCATGCAGAGCTAATGGTTCAGGTGTGTGTGAGATAGAGAGAGGGAGGGAGGGAGGGAGAGACTATAGCATGTAGAATAGGTGTGTCAAACTTCCAGCGTCCCACTGTCATCACATAACATATCACAATTTTTTTCCTCTTCATTAAACCGAAGATGGGCATGGCCAGTGCATGAAACATTGGGCCCACAGGTTGC